GAGGGGAGAAAGGGAAGATAGATATGCACAGAATGCCCAGAAGCAGCAATAACAGCTAATATTTATTGAAAAACTGCTCTGGGTCAGGAGCTATTCCAATTTATGCAAATAAGTTCATTTGAGCCTTAAGAAACCCCTAAGAATCTTCTTATTGGAGATGAGGAAACACAGGCACAGAGAAGCAATTTTGCCAGGGTCATCCAACAAAGTAGTGGTGCCAGGATTGGCACTTTGGCAGTCCTACATAAAAGGTTCCACGAAGCGAACAGGAGCGCAGAGAAGGGTGCAATTTTGACTTGGGGGCAGGCGCAGTCTTACCGGGGAATCTTGAGCAACTCGGGGGAAGGTTTTTCTCGAGTTCGCGAAGGTCCCTCAATAAATGGAGGATTGAGGGCTGCCCTGGAGACAAACATTCCATGGGCGCCTACTGTGTACAGGGACCTATTCTAAAAGCTAAAGAAAGAGATGAATGATCCCTTGCAACGCTCGATCAGGGGGAGATCATTCTGCTTAACACAATTTTACCGACTATGATAAATGCCCACAGTAGAGGTGCAAACAGGGCTATGGGGGCGCAGGAGAAGGAGCCGTTAATTCTGGCATCGGAGGCGGCTTGGAGCTCGAAAATCTAGAGAAAAACCATCTTTCGGTGGGAACCCGAGGCGCTCACAGGGCCCACAGAGAACGAGGATTCCCCCGCCCCTCAAGAGGCCCGCGCAGGGAGACCCGGCCGGTCCCTCAGCCTCGCGGCCCCGCGGCCTAAGCCCCCGCCTCGCCGCCCCCGCAGGTCCAAGTCCGGTGTCAGGCCGGTGCAGTGGAGGCCAACAGGGCGAGACGCTCGCTCCTGCTGCCCCTTACCTGGGGTGGGGACAGTCTGGACGGGATCGGAGCGGAGAATTCGCGGACTCTGGTCAGTCGACGCGAACAGGCTCCGCGGGCGCGGGCGGAGGACCGAGGCCCAGAGGGAGCGGCTGACAGATCCCGGAAGTGGCCACAGCGCCTGCGCAGCGCGGCCGCGCGGGCGGTCTGCTCATGCGCACAGCTCTGGCGCGCGGCGGGCTGTGGCGGGGGAGGGTCGGCGTCCCAGTAGCTGTAGTGGCTCCTCAGAGGCGGCGCCCGAAAACGCTAGGTGTTGGAGAGGAGGCGTGGGTGTCTTACTCCTTTCCTCTAAACATTTCCTCAGAATTGCCAGCCGAGGTTTGGAGTTTTGGCGGTTTCACAAGTGCTTTTGTCAGGAGATGAGTTAACTGAGAATTGGGGCCTTTTGGGGCTCGTGGACCTGATGAACTACTAAGTTTTTCTTATTCAGAGAGCCCGGGCCGGAACCGGTCGACCTTAGCGCGCATCCATGCTCCCTCTCTGGAAAGCCTCTCAAGCCCCCCAGGAAACTTCTCGACCCTCCCTGGGTTAGAATCACTTGTTCCCAAGACGGCACCGCAGGAAAGAAGAGTTGGGGGAACATAAATTCCCCCCGTACATGTGAAGATAGTGTCTTGCTGTGCAGATGCATCTTGTAAGAAATGCCCTGAACCCCGCATGCAACTAGGCTGCTACCCTGGAACCGGCAGAAATTCTGTGGCAGCATCCCCTGTCCCCCACCTTAACAGGTGGCTAACCAAGGACGTGTTTCTTTCCCTTTCGTGGTTTACATGTTTGATTCCAATGCTTGGTTGTAAGGTGATGCTTATGAAAGTGAACTTGTCAAACTCCCAATTTCAGACCCACACTGTGTTCTGCGGGTTAGTGAATCTCGCTGTTCATTGGAGCATTGGTGCACCAGAAATCTTTGTTTTTAACTTCCCCATAGTGACAAAGTCTTTGGTTACAGGAGTAACAAGGACACAGAAAGCGAAAAGATCGTTGTATGTTAATTACACCTCGGAGACACAACTTGGCAACGGAAGGACAGCATGCACAGAAAGCAAGGATTCCTCATGTGTCTGCAAGTTACAGGAACCAGTCCCCAAGAATGTGGAGTTGGTACCCAGAGCCAAAGTACCAACAGTATTGTATTCGGATCCCATCTCTTTACAAAGTACACTTTTTTCTTTGAAGGAATTTATAATCCGGGTAGATGGGAATCACATATACAAATTAATACCAGACTCTTCGTGATAAATGACAAGAAATGTTAGCCCTGGAAAAATAACGGACATTTACTATTAATCTTTGGTTCTATCTTTTGAATCAATATTTTTCAATTTAGCTTAACCAAAGCTTACCATTTGATGCATTTCATTTCATATTTTATGAGTCATTCCAGATGGTAAAATCTTAGCTCCAAATGGGGATCTTTAAATTAATCCGCCTTATTCTGTAACTGAGGAAACAAGACTACAATATTTTGAGACTTGAAGATTTTGATACAAGGCAGGGTCAGAGCTTTCCTCCTGCTCTGGCCTTTCCTATTATACCATCATACCCTGGTATAAGCGTGATTGGTGTTCCAAGAAAGGTGAGTTTCTCTTAGTGCTTGTTTTTTAGACATGTATGATGAAACTGATGTAGTATCCAAAATGAGGACTCTGCCTTTTAAAAAATCAGTACCAGCGAAGGTGATACTTAGAAGTGGGAAATGGGAGGAAGAGAGGGAAGGATTGGACACTGCCATGGGATAGCTTTGTGTGCCTTACTGATTGTATTTGAATTGGAATTTGGTCAAGATTCAAGCCATCAGATATTTAATGAGTACTCACCAATTGCCAGGTACTGTGTTAAGCATTTTGTGCAGTGTGCAGAAGGGTAGAGTAAGATCCCTCTGTCCTCAAGGAACTTTGAAACTAGGATAAGATCGGTCCATAAATTATTTTAATTTCTTTGTAGAGATGGGATCTTTCTATCTTGCCCAGGCTTGAGTGCAATGGCTTTCACAAGTGCAATCATTACACTCTACAGCCTCACATTCCTGGGTGCAAATGATCCCACCTCAGCTTCCTGAGTAGCTGGGACTACAGTTGCGTGCCACCACACCTGGCCCACAAATAATTTTAAATACAAAGAAATGCACAATGCCTTGAACCTGGAAAGTCCTGGTCAATGTTTGTTGAATGGAAGTGTGAATGAATGAAAGAAACAGTCTGGGATGTCAAAGGACAACAGAGATTACCTAGTTGATAAGGGGAGGTGGGGCTTGTATAGATACATTAGGAACATAACTGATCATCATTTAGAAGAATTACATGTTTGCAAAGGCCTAAGGATTTCCTTCTGCTCAGGAGAGCTTTGATTTAATAACTAGAATGTGGATTTGGAGAGTAAGAAAATTGGTTCTTGTTCATGCCACCAGCTGAATCATTGAATGCTAAGTGCTTGTTTGCCCCTAATGCCTGCCACCTACTCACCACAAAGACTGTTGGAAATATTATTGAACCGATGCCTGTAAAAGCTATAAGTAAGCAAAGAGACAAAAAGATAAATGCATATTCTGTGTTAATAATAATCCTTATGCTTTGATATTGTCCTTATTGCTGGATATGGTCCCAGTGGGGAAAGCTTTTTATAGAAAGGACTTTGTACAGTTCAGTACAGATGAACTGAAAAATGCATGTGGATTTTTCCACTCTGGGCTGCTAATCCAGTTCATTTCCATAGGACAGGGATGGGACCAGTTTATGGGGTGTCTAGGGGCATAGGGTGGTCTCAGGTGGTCTTTAAATAGCATACTATCACAAATACCATACTTACAAGACAAGTACACAAGAATACTTATGAATACTATGTACTATTTATCTAATTTGATAAGTGAAATCTGTAGTCCATTAGCCTGTACATCTTCTGGAGCCCAGGGCCACTTCTTACACATTTTGTTTCTAGCACATTTTCCCATGTTGTTATGCAAGGTTAGATTAGTTTAATTAAAAGATAGTATGATGGAGTGGTTAAGAGAGTTAATTGACTATGTAACTAGATATAATGGGGTTTAAATTCTGGCTATGCAGCTTACCAGCTATATCCACTGTCAAGTCGGTCAACTTCTCTTAATTTATCTGGAAAATGAGGATAATAGTTCCCACTTTCTAGCATTCTAAGGATTAAAATAGACAATGTATTAAACAACAAATCAAAGTACTGTAAGAAAATAAAAAATAAATACAAATAAAATAGACTATGTAAAGTGCTTCACAGTTCTTGACATGCTAAAAGAACTTGATAAATTGTGGAAATTATTATTCAGAAATACTTTGTCAAGTTGATTGTCATAATTTATTATATCCAATTTTTTTTTTTTTACCAATCTGTGGCTTCTCTTTTCGTTCACTCTCTTAATGTCTTTCAAAGAGCAGAAGTTCTCTTATATATATATATATATATATATTTTTTTTTTTGAGACAGAATCTTGCTCTGTTGCCCAGGCTAGAGTGCCATGGTGTCAGCCTAGCTTACAGCAACCTCAAACTCCTGGGCTCAAGCAATCCTCCTGCCTTAGCCTCCCAAGTAGCTGGAACTACAGGTGCGTACCACCATGCCTGGCTAATTTTATTTTTTTCTATTTTTAGTTGCCCAGCTAATTTTTCTCTATTTTTAGTAGAGATGGGATCTCGCTCTTGCTCAGGCTGGTCTTGAACTCCTGACCTCGAGTGATCCTCCTGCCTCAGCCTCCCAGAGTGCTAGGATTACAGGTGTGAGCCACTGCACCCAGCCCTGAGCAGAAGTTCTTAGTTTTGAGCAAGTCCATTTATTAGGTGTCGTATCTAAGAAATCTTTACCTAATCCAATGTCACATAGATTTTCTCCTATTTTTTAGAAGTTTTATAGTTTTTATGTTGATATATTTTAGAGTATTAAACTAAACTTGCATTCCTGAGAAAAGACCCACTTAATGTATTATCCTTTTTATATATTATTATTGTTTTCAATTTGCTAAAATTTTGTTCTGAATTTTTGCATCTATGCTTATGAAGAATTATAGTTTACTTTTTTTGTAATCTCTAGTTTTAGTATCATGATAATTCTTACCTTATAAAATGTGTTCAGAAGTATTCTTTGCTCTTCAATTTTCTGGAAGAGTTTGTGTAGAATTTGTATTTTTTAAATTTCCAAACATGGCAGTTTTAAGTTCTATTTTTGTTATTGATTTCTACCTTACTTGCATAATTTCCATCTTAATTATTGATTTGTTTTTACTTGTTCTTTCAGTTGCTAAGAAAGTTGTGTTACTATCTCCCATGTGGTTGTGGATTTGTCTATTTTTACTCTAATTCTATCATTTTTTTCTTTACATATTTCAAGGCTATAATTATAGGTGCTCCTGTGTAATAGAATTATGTCTTCTGATGAATTGAACATTTTATCATTATGAAATGTTCCTTAATAATAATACCTTACATCTTAACATTTACTTTCTCTAATATTAATACAGTTGACCTTGAACAACATGGGCTTGAATTGCATGGGTCCACTTATATGCGGATTTTCTTCTGCCTCTGTCACCCCTGAGACAGCAAGACGAACGCCTCTTCCACTTCCTCCTCAGCCTACTCAGTATGAAGACATTAAAAATGAAGACTCTGATGGTCCACTTCCACATAATGAATAGTAAATATATTTTCTGTTCCTTCTGATTTTCTTAATAATGTTTTCTTTTCTCTAGCTTACTTTATCATAAGAATACAATATATAATACATATAACATGCAAAATATGGGTTAATCAACGTTATTGCTAAGGCTTCCAGTGAAGAGTTGGCTATTAGTAGTTAAGTTTTTGGGTGGTCAAAAGTCGTATGTGGATTTTGACTGTGCTGGGGGAGTTGGTATCCCAACCCCCACATTGTTCGAGAGTCAATTGTATAGCTATACCAGCTTCTTTTTGGTTAGTATTTGCCTAGTATATCTTTTTATCTCCTTTCAACTTTCCTGTGACCTTATGTTTTTAGATTGTTTCTTTTTTTTCTCCCAAATTTCCGACATTTGAGGAAATCTCAGGGGTCAGCACACCCGGAATATAGTGGATAAGTCTCGCTCTGGGAAAACCACCT